ACAAGACCTGGTTTTGGAGATATTCCAGTGGTGGCTTCCGCAACTGCTACCTCGGCGTTCAGTAGTTCCTCGTATGGGGAAAAAAAGAAGCGCAAAAAATGAGGGCCTACAAGGGGGATACAGAGCCCTGTTTATTATTTGACTATGCCAACGATGAGTCTCTGTATCCCTCGTGTTTGTTCCACGTTTTCTTCGTGCCGTTTTTTATTGGATATAAATATTGATTTATTACACATTGGCCCAACCACTTGACTACACTTTAGTTAAAATAAAAAAGGGTTAGCGTTGTGTTTCACGAGTATTTCCCGAACTCTTTTCTAAGTCTTAAATACCCATCAAGAGTAGAAAATATAAAAACCTGCAAACAGCAAATCAACAATGCTACGCTGGGACCATTTTTTCCAGGTTGGCAGTTGGGACCATTTTGTCCGGGACCATTTTTTATTTAATCCGCGCACTGGGTGTGTAATTATGGTGCCTCGCACCAAGGACGAGTCCCCACGCACCTTTTCTCCCTCTCATTGGGTTCTTGGGAAAAATGCAGGAAGGTCGTTTTGCTGACTTAAAAAAAAAAACAGAAAACAAAACGGTCTCTTTGTCCGTCAATGAGCAACGGCCGGCCAGGAACGAACATTCAGTCTCGGCTTCTCGTTCCATGTGTGCGACCTGTATCTTCCAAAGCAGCTGGGTGTGCAGATGAAAAGAATATATTTTTCAGTGACCTGTTTCTTACGGCTCTTGTCCATCCGGCTTCAGAAGCATCCAGCGAGCGAAAAAGACTGCCCGTGATTTTTCAATGGCGGCGGATGTCCGTACCGCGCGTTCGTGGTTTCCGCTAAGCGTGCTACTGAGAGTGTGTATGTGTCCGCCTGGTGCACCCGTGGGGACGGCATCAGGGACGACATCGTGAGTGTGCCCGAGATTTCTCAACGGCGGCGGATGTTCGTTCCGCGCGTTCGTGGTTTTCGCTAACGGACTATAACCTAAGGGCAAAGTCAGCTTACAAACTACCACGAACTAGGACTAATTACGGCAACCAAAAGATCAACTTCCAAATACACCAACTCTTAAACGCTCTAGGCAACAACGTATTGCTTGCCGGCACCACAGGGGCTTTTAAAAAACAGCTTCGCTCCATCTTGGTCGAACATGAGATACGTATTGTGTAAATATAAATATACTAATGGTTTTTACTTTTGCCTGCATGTTTTTATTGTTTTAAAGGTGAATTATGGGCAAGGAGTTTTTTTCCTGACCATTTTTTATTTGTCACTGTTTTAGATTGTCTCTTTGACTGACGACCGTAAAATATATGGTACTTTTTAATCGTGGAATGCTTTCCATACACAAGCATTATACTTATTTTTTACACTATGTACTTTGTACTATGTAATTCATGCGTATACTCATTTTTACATAGTATACTTTATAGGCCTTTTTTTTTTTTGCTGTCTTATTTACATATTGTGTTTCTTCTCTATCACTCCCTAACAATGTCTAATGGCGGGCGGTGTGATTTATTGTGCTTCCTGGTGTTGTTTGTACGCATATTTTTTTTTTTTTTTTTTTTTTGCCTTGTACAGTGATGTGATTGGCCTAAGCCGTTTTGGAGCACCTTTTGGAGCAGCCAAAACTGTTTTGGAGCAGCATAAGTGGCTTCTGGAGCAGCAAAAAGTGGCTTTTGGAGCAGCAAAAAGTGTCTTTTGGAGCAGATTTTTTTATAAAAATGAAAAATTATTTGTTTTAAGTGCTGCACAAAGGAAGGGCCCTTTGCTCGACACAATAAACAAATTATGTTCAAGTTAGACGACCCGGGAGTCTTTCAAGTTGTTAACTGAAATGCCAATGACACAGCATATTTTGCAATGCTTCAGTTAAATGACATATACCCTAGCAGCACATATGTCCTATACACATCCACAGGACATCCCTGGAACGTCGGGACATCCTGAGCATATCCGGGGAACCATGTGTGCTGCTTGGGTATATATATATATGTACCCGCTATAGATAAATAAGAACCAAATTGCACATATTAAATTTATTTGAAAATGACCAGCTTAGCAGTAAATATGAAAGCATAAACTTTTCACTAGTTATATAATATAATAAATTGAAGCAGTATCCAACTGATGAAACACGTAACTGCTGCAATGCAATACGAAACTGTACATATGAAAAAGGTGCAGTACGACTGGTGAATGCTTTTCCAATTTTGCTTGTTGAAACTTTCTGCAAGGCTGCTGCAAGCCCCGCTTAGCTTTCGGCAAGTAATGAATGTCCACTTTCAATGTCTCCAAAGAGACGTTGAGGCATCCCAGAAGTGTCCAGTGCTGTAGGCGTTGCCGAGCAATTCCAAAACGTCTCCTACCGTTTTACTGGTTCCCTACATGCCAGATTTTTGTCAGAAGCAAGCAAATGGAAGGCAATGGATTGCAAGCGTCCCGGCTGGTACCTCTGTCGTGCAATCATGTTCGCATGCACGTGAGGGCAACTTCAGCAGCTTGCAGTTGCACGCGCTTCGTTATGCGAGTGGAGACGGCTGTTCGACCGAAACCGAAACTCTGCCACTCCCCTCCGTCGCCATCTGGTCCCCAAAATTGTATGCAAAATGTAACAATCCAGCATAAAAAAGAAAAACAGTCCAGTGGCGCGTGCTTGCCAGGCCAGTATGCGAGGCACAAGCTAATTTAAAAGGTTAAAAAGTGCAAACATAACAAGGACAATAAAGCTAATAAAAATTTTAAAAAAGTAGCTGAGCGCATCAATGAAGACATCGCGAGTCAGGGTCAAAAAGTTCTTGGAGCGCTTTGTGCAACAACTGAACTCAAGATAAACAAGCGCGCTGTGCGGGTTCAGCGTGCAGGCATTGCCTTTTGTTGCTTTAGCTAACTTGTCTTAAACTTTCTTTTGCGACATGCTTTTCACGTACCGGGGTCCCTCTCAAAAGAAATCCGACCGAGAGAAACCTAGGTAAACTGTACTTCGACACAACAGTCTTTGAGCTAGAGGGATTTTTGTAGTAGCGTTTAATTTAAACAAGGACAGGATTGCTGATTACCCTGCAGCGGTCCTTACGTTTCATTTTAGAAAGCGCCATATCTGCAGCAATGTGTGGACGGGAACACCCGACGTCATAATTGCGGTGACAGGCAGGGACCAAAAATAGTTTTGCCACGGCCGTTTCTTTCAGAAGCGAGTGCTTCAGATCGCAAGTAACTCCCAATGCGCAAAAACGTGGTTTCGTTTTACAACACAACGGCATGGCTGGTACCCGGTAAGCTAGCGTCGGATCGTCCATATACGCTTGCATCTATCGCTAAAATATTTTCAAGAGGATGCGAGACGAGACAGACGAGAGTGCGAAATGAGGAACGGCGGGAAAAACCATGCGAGACCGGATGGACGATTGATGCAGCATACTTTCTGTCGGGCGGTCGCTTGCGCCACCTAGCTCACGCATGCTCAATTACGGTACTCAGTTTAGTTTCGGTTTCGAAAGGCGACCGAAATTGCTCCTTTGGCGCAGGCTTGGCGCAGATTACCCATATTTCAGCGAAATGTAGCAGGATGTAGCAGGGCTAGCCCCTTGGCGCACTTTGGCGCAATTGGCACAGCAATCACATCACTGCTTGTATGATGTCTGGGTGTTATCACAATGTTGTGTTACTGTGGGTTTCTGCATGCGCGGATTCTTTTTTTTTTTTTTGCTTGTTTTGTATTTGCCGCTGGATTTTGCCGTCCTTACCGGCCGCTGGCACCTCGTCAGGCAACCTGTTTGCCTTTTGTGCCAGCGGACCGTTCAAGTCGAATTTGTATTTGACTTGAAAAAGTAAAATGATTGATTGATTGATTGCTACTGACAGTATACGTGTGTGTGTCCGTGTGGTGCACCTGCGCGGTTTTATTAGTTGAACTACCGTACGTCTAGGAATTTACCCAGCGGCATTGTGAGTACCTTGAAAGATATCTTTTGCGACAAAGAACTCTGTTGTTCCTATTTGGTCTGATCGCTTTTGTCTACAGCTGTGCAAATTGTTTCACTGGTATCGACTCTGTTAAATAAATACATAGAACCTTCAGGTCTATATGGACTAACCACTTTAATTGTTACCGAATTGTCGAGCATCTGGTAAACATACACCAACCACGGTTCACAGGCTTCCTCCTAAGTGCCTTCCGTTGACGTCCGAAAAAAGAAAAAAAAACACGGTAAATTCCGGCCAATCTGATGATCTTCTGGTAAATTCTGGCTTTAATGGAAGTGAAGAGTCCCATAATCCAGTAAAATAGATTTTTAATTAGAAATAATCTTCCGGTAAAAATCCAGTGACATTCTGGTAAAAAAGCTGGTGACATTCCGGTAACATTCTTGTAAAGCAACCAGTGACCTTCCAGTAAAAAATCCGGTGACATTCCGGTAAACTATGGCTTTACTGGAAGTGAAAACAGTCCCATAATCCAGTAAAATAAATTTTTACTGGAAATGACATTCTGGTAAAAATATTTTTCAATAGGGCAAATAAACACAATGCGTGAAACAGGCTTTGCCGCACGCTACAGCCCATGAAGCTAGCGGACGTGCCGAGGGGTCCAAGATCTGCGCGTTCTGTCCTACCCATGACTTCACTAACGATAATAGAGAAGCGCCCCCTGCAGTTCGCATCGCACGGGTCTGACAATTTTTTATACAGGCAAACAATTTTTTTTGTATTTTTACTAGAAAAACGCATAAATTACATTGTGACCCTTAGACAAGCTTTACACTTTTATTTGCTGAGGGTGCCTTCGCGTCCCGCGCTTCCTACCTGCCCAACTTCTTTTTTTTTTTGCACGAAACTGCTTTTCGCAGTTTTGTCGCTTTGTGCCAAAAAACTCCCAAACCGGGAATCCAGAAAAGGGCCCGCTGGTCATCGTACATCGTTAGATAATCAGCCACATGTGTGTCTTATGGCACGTTCTAACTGCACTTACTGATAGTATGTAATGAGTCCACCATGTCCCTCGCAAAATAAGCATTTATTTGCATGAAAGAACATATCTCAAATACACAGCACTGCGTGTATAGTATAAGATACATTGCAGTGGAGTGATACAAATGCAAGCGCACGGTAAAAATGTCCAGGCCAGAAAAGAACCCTTGTATCAAAAGCCTCGTGCATTTTCAAATGGATGGTCTACAAGGTTGCAATACCACAAAATGCAGGACACTTCAGAAATCGTGAGGCAACACGACTCCGGCAAAAATCGTGGAAGTTGAGGCGTCCGGCTGTCCGTTTGAACACCACCAAGCCACCATCATGATTTTCCTGCTGATTTCCTCCGCTTTTCGGTGACCTCGGTGTTTGTCAGGCCTGAAGTCGAGCACCACCTGCCAATACTATTGATCTGTTCTGCCGGGCCCTCGTAGTCTTGGACGTGTTCCAAAATTTACTCAATCTTGCTCCGGCCGGGGTAAGGGTTTTGCACCTTTGCGTTCGAAAACCTACCCGGGTTCAGCTTTGCTGTATCTGTGATATCACATGACATGACCCGCCAGACTAGCTCGGATCTATTTCGGTAAGATTTTGAACACAGCTCTTCCCTTTCCCGTTTTTGGGACATGAGGAGCAACGGAGGTTTTGAGCGATTGACCGACAGCCAATAGAGCTTGTGAATTGCTGTCCGGACCCATGTGAAGAGCATGCTCAAGGCCCCCGTGGAAGACACGGGCAAAATTTGACAGAGAGAACTTTTCCCCCATAAAAAAGAAAAGGGGGATGGAAGCGGACCGCCAATGTCAGAGTCGTGTCGCCCCACGAATTTTAAGTATACTGTTTGGACGGGCCCATAGTGATGGCAGCTGTTATGACAATACGTTGAATGCTTCTTATCCAAGGCACTAGTATAGTGGAATGGGCTATAAAATTGTCGCGTAGTCGAATTTAAGCATGCCCAGTCACCTTCTCTCAGAAACTCGAACCTCAAAATGCCCGTCTTGAAACATAGAAAATGAAACGCCAGATGGCCGGATGAGATAACAATATTAGTGCGGTCCTACGAAAAGAAAGCTAACATACATGACATACATACTAACTTACATGTTATTTTTATTTCTTTAAAGTGAGGTTAGGGATAACAAAACTAAAATAGAGCAAATTAAGGCACAGTAAAAGATTGATGCCGAAATTGCTGAGCAGATTGGTGTTGAATTGCAACACCGTTATTTGCTGCCTTGTAGTGTGTAAATGTCTCATTACAAACTGCTTAGGAACTGCTGTGGAAATTTCAGGTATATTTTTTGGCAAAGTCCATGAAATCTTTTATCACATTTAAAACCAATTTCGTCTGCTTCCCTGCGACCAACCAACCAACTTCTGTTGCAGCATTACTGCAATTTAAATGTTTCTCTCTTACAGGCATGTAGCCAGGCCGGGGGGGGGGGGGGAAGGAGGCACCATGGGGTGCCCCCCCCCAAAATCTTCCATTTTGCTGGGACCTTCTCTCCCCCCACCCCCACATAGAGCATTTTGTCATGGGTGGGCCCCCCCCGAACCAAAACCCTGGCTACGTGCCTGCTCTCTTACTATACTGATAAAACACAATATGCATATAAATATAAAAAGACCCTTGGCAACTGTATCTGCTGTTCAGAAGCTAATACATCACATCATATACACCGGGAGCATACGTGCCACCTGCTTCATTGGTTACAGCATGCAGACAAACACGAAAAAAGAGAGGATTTGCTCAGAAATTAATAAGCTTATACATAGCTTCCGGTTTCGTTCCCGTCCAAAAATACAATTCCTCGTTTTGCTAGTTTCATTTTGCGTGCAGTTCAAAGTTTCAAATAATATGCAAGACTAATTCATCGCAAGACCGTGCAAGGTGTGCTTGTGGTGCATGTGCTTCACCTCTTTGCACAGGTGTGCTACGAGAATGCTAGTGTGCCGGTGCTAGACCAGTCCTACAACAATCTCACTTTGCTTGCCGTAATTCCATTCATTTGGATCCAGCGACACCAAACTACATACCCTGGCTAACTTACCAAGGGCTTTCATGAAACTTCAGAAAACTGGCACAAACTTTCAGACTAGAAACTTCACCATATTACACGAATTCTGCCCTTATTCCAGAGACGGATGTTTTCCGAGGCAGTTACCCTACTTGCACTAGCATTCAAAATGAGTGCTCTCCCCAAAATTAGCTGACGAAAAATTGTAATCTGCTGATAATATGGTGCCTGCCACCTCTTCGTGATTCACTCAAGCTATAGCAAAATAGGCCATACCAAGGAACCATTAATGTCTACATGATAACACTATGGCAAGCCCCAAACAAAGGTTACCGCATACCTTTAAACCTCACAATTTAAAAAAAAAGAAAATCCTGTCTGTGCATTATGCAGGCTACCACTGTTGTAGCACAGCTTGACCTGCATTAGAATCTAACTAGCATGTAAAAAATCAAAGCATTAGATTAAACTTCTTGCTGCTGGCATGATGTAAAAGCCACCTGTGCAGGCTGGGTTAAAAATCGCTGCAAAAAAAGCAAGATACCACAATTTTTTGTTCTTCTTAACTGCAATGTGGTAGTTTCTCAGTAAGTTACTACACTGGGAAAAGGGGCTTCCAACAAAATGTGAACTCATATGTGACCTCCCAGAAACCTAGAGAGAAGCATCACTATGCAAAAAGCTAGCTGCTCGTATGCTCGATTCTTCTTACCAAAGAGCTGTGGTCAATTGAATGCGTTCCATGTGCTTTGAAGTGCTGTGCACTAATTTCCTCAGCCACAGATTGCCTTGCCATGGTTGTCGCCCAAGATGCCCACGGCACTGAGGATTTATGCCATCTGCATGGCATGGATGCCACAGTTGCTGGCCACATTCTTCTGGCAACGCTTGTGAAAGTTCATGCTGCAAGCTGCAAGGAAGCGCCGTGCAGGGAAATGTCACGCAAGGCACTGGAAAGCTGTTTCCTGAAGCTAATGACACTACCGATTTCCAGTCGGAACACACCAAGAAAACTGTTTGCTCACCTCGATACCGAAAAGTTCGCCCCGTGTGTGTGTCGACCTATATATCCATCCACATGGATCTGTTTTGCCCGCCTTGCCTATTTGACTTTTGGGGATGATACCACTATTGGTCATCTGATTGCGTAGATACAGTGAAACCCGTTTAGAACGAACCCACGTACAGCGAATTATTGTCAATATCGAACTCACAGAAAATTTAAATAAAAAGGCATGTAAAACATACCTTTTATAACGAACAACATATCGGTTATATCGAAATTTCCCCTGTGGGAAGGCTTCCAAAAACGCGTAAACAATCGTCTTCTAGCCTGTTCCTTCCCCCAAAAAAGTAGGAAAGAAAGAAAATTCCAAAAGCTCAAGCTGCGAACAAAACTGAGCGAAGAGAAGCGATTCCGAAGGGGAGAAAGCTAAAACTAGACTCTGCACACACACGCACAGGGAACAAAAAAGAACTTTTCACCCCAAGGCGTTTGCCAACGAAGAGAAGCGATTCGAAAGGGGAGATAAGTTAAAAAAAAAAACTGCACGCATGCAAAAAAAAAAAAAAAGAAACTTTCCAGCGCGTTGTTACAAGGCGGAAGAGAAGAGATGAAAGAAAAAGAAGCTCTCGCCTCACAACAAACGCATAGTGGAAGTTCGTCGTAAACGTTTTTTGCTATATCTATATCGAACTGATCGTAGTGTTTCCTGCTGTTCGTTATAAACGGGTTGGACTGTAGTACTACTGCAGTTTACGTGGTCATGGGACCATGTGACGCGATGTCACAGCGTGATGTGACACCCTGACATCACGGAGTCAAGTTGCGATGCCATGTGACTTAAATTTAGCAGAGCGTGAAACTTTGCTGGCCATCAAAACATACTTCCACTATTTCAGTTAATATTTCCTGTAAATTAACGTCACATGAATTGGTCACACTCATATTTTCTTAACACTACAATCAGTTGTAGTAGGCTGGATTGCAGATCGAGGCCTTTCTTGCTGGGGTCGAGTGGCACCACCGGCAGCCATCACGTGACACTAGCTAATGCATGGGACTTTATGGGAAAAACAAGAAAAAGTTTTGTTTCCCCCGCTTCTAAGCTGCTGTCAACTTTCAAACTTTTTGACTGCTTCTCGTGAAGCCTGTCAAGTAGCTTGTGCACAAACATTAAAACTAACAGCCTTCACAGTTCTTATAAATAAATATTTCGAAGTCGAGAGTGATTCCACAGGGCAAAAAACGTAGTCCAGTTTTACGAGACAAGAGCAGCTAGAGTTACTGTGGAGCCAGTGGCGGTTTCAACAAGTTGGGTTTAGCAGACGACAAGCCTGAAAGTTTTGCAATGTGAAATTCGCTCACTACCTGAAAGCCGCTGTCCAAATGGAATTTTTTCGACATTCACCAACTTCTGGGCTTCCCCGAGGATGGCCTTATTGACGGCAAGTTCCTTTGTTTACACCAGTACAAGAGCAAGCTTGCCAGCTCAGCCATGTGTGCTCTGGCACGTTTAGTTTTTTAAATCGGCATTTGAACGCTTGTCAAATATTGATTCTACCTCCAAACACCCGATATATAGTGATTGCAGCACATCCTAAAATACTTGCCTAGGAGCACCGCGTAGAAGCTTCAATATTTCTACTTTTGTGGGTGTCTCCCATAGGCTTGTGTGTACTGCCAGGTGTCAAGTAATGGCCACCGATGGTCCCACCGACGGGCTCCCGATTCGCAATTTCGCCTACTACAATAGAAATCAGTGCTCTAGACTGGAAGCATTAAAAAGGGGCACTAAAGAGATATCTCGAGCTTGTCTTTTTACAGTGCAAACTCAACTTACTTGCGAAAATGCGCAAACTCAACTTACGTGCCCAAACATTGCAGCATGCCCTTTTTTCCGAGATTTCAGAAAAGGGTGCGTGTTGCAATATTCAAATACACTTAAAGGGACACTGACAGGGTATTTATGCTCGCCGAGGTTTTTAGTTGTACATATCAGAGCCTAACTACCTAGAACAGAATTTGTGGATCGAAATTCGGCTTCTTTCCACACAAAAACTGCTGATCGAGAACTGGCTCGTTTGAGTCGCACTCACTCTCTTCTCTGTGGTCACGGGCCGTTTTCTAAGGTTTGGACACAATCACCAAATTTAATCGAAGTCGTGGGTCATTGAAGGCACACACTCTATATTAAAAATAGAAAAAATATGAAACCCCTTTCTTGTGGCTTATAAAAAGCTGCAGATATGTTGACTGAAAAAAAAAAAAAAGGTTGCACAGAGAACCTGAAGTTTTTTGTGCGTTCACTGCTTAATTCTCAACATGGCGTCGTACTGTGTATCGTGGGTCTTGCGGGTTGGACGGCGATGGCAGTGAACGACTGGTGTGGGACCTCTACTTCAGAACTGTCGTTCGAGGTACCGGAGAGTTCTGTCTTCCTTCAAAAGAGAAATTTTGGACTGATCAAAAGAATTGGTATTTATCCCGTACGACATGCCCGACCACCAACCCAATTTGCATGAAGACGTTGCTGATCCGAGGCCCCCTTCTTGTGGCTGAAGACATTGCTAGCACAGACGTTAAGCCCGAAGTGCGTACTTCAAGTTGAATGTGCACGCGTACGATTTTTTTACTAGGTGCGAATGTAGACAGTGCGTGGTGCTGCCTGACTTCGACCCAGGAGTGCTTTTGCTGTAGGAAAATCAGCAGCAAACTTTTCAACCTACAGTTGACCTGCCGCATTATTACTAATGAAAGAGATTCCCCCAGTAGTTCGGTGAAAAGATGTCTGCTTGACACGCGGTGGAACCAGGTTCAATCCCAAATGTGGGCGTATTTTTTTTTTTTTTTCCAGACATTTTGCGATATTTACATTCTTTTTTTTCTACAATTATCACTGGAAAAAAACAAATAATATGGACGAAACGTTGCTAAACTAAATGATTTGGGATTTTCTTTTTGACACCTGCGAACTCAATGTAGTCACTTTCTACAAAAGGCAAGGAGCATATAAATCGGGTAGCATCCGCTTTATGAGGTGCCCGTAAATATTCTACAGGAATTTCAGCCAGCCATTGGTCTCGATCCCGTTGATCTTTCGAAAACTTGTGCAGACTCTGCTGCACAATGCCACTTTTTTCGGACGCAGGACATGTGAGGCAGCTCTTCACGCAACATCTTGGGGATATTCTTTTCGGAGCCAATCATGAGAATTCGCCACAGGCACTCACTACTCATTTCCAGCTCTTCAATGTACAAAACAACTCATCTTGAAGTGCAGAGCAGCAAGCCGAACAAACATAACTGCAAAGGAATCGCACGGCAAACAATTCCCGCAACGCATTTCATCTGCTGCACGCGGGAAAAAAAAAAAAAAAAAGAACAGAGGGAAAAAAAAGCGCTCGGTCGGGTGTAGCCATGTGACTTCCACCACTCCCTCTCTCCTCCATCTTTTCCGACCTCCGTGCGCAGATTTCGGTTTCGAGCAGTTGCGTTTTTTGGCTTTATTAAAAATATATGTGACTCTGTAGCAAAATATTAATTGGGTAGTCTTCCGACACCATAATCAATCGCCTGGCAAAAATGAAAAAAACAAAAAAAAAGATTTGGGGGGTGTCAGTGTCCCTTTAAAAAAGAAGAAAAAAAAACTAATAAAATGATTGTAATTTTTTGTCTTCCAGGACGCTTAGGGCGAGCACGTTGGGCTTTGACTGCAAAGAGAACATATCAAGATCCACATTATAATAAAATGATTGTAATTTTTTTACTTCCGGGACGCTTAGGGTGAGTACATTGGGTTTTCACTGCAAAGAGAAGATATCGAAATCCACATTAGTGCCCCTTTAACCAAGAATCTGACTGACCTTCACAATGGACCCCTTGGCGACAGAGTCCGTACAGCAAGGAGCCGCAGTGGTCGCAGAATGTGGGCCGCCTGTAGCTGTGCACCACGAGCCGGTGAGGGACGCTGATGCCGAACCGGCTACCCGCCGCCATCTGCCACAGGGGAGAACAGACACACGACCCAGACGACGGGCGTTTGCGGGAACCAAGTGCACCTTCTAAAGCACTGCCAAAAGGCCAAGTAAAACTTTTAGAAGAGCCACCAACGTGTGCTTAGCTGCTGTTTGTCCGTCTCTGCATAAAAACGCCACGTTTCTTCCGAATGGAGGCGGGCCCGGTGGAGTTACTCCTAGACTGTCTCACCAGGGGCGAAAAGGTAACCAATGCAGTTGGAGAGATGCGCTCTTATCCAGACCATCTTTTCTGTACCCCGGTAGTCGCTTTTGTACCCCTGGGAGATTAGCGCGTCGCTCAAAATTCATACAAAAGCGGCGTCTCCCTTTTCTCCCGCCTGTGGCGTCTACGGTGCACTGCGTGCAACTATCGAGACGCAGAACGGTGGCTTAACGCTGCTTCACGCTAGAGTAAGGCCGGTACCCACGGCACAGTCTGCTTACGTCACATTATGTTACGGGCACTTACGTCTGCTTAGGTCTTTAGTTGCCGGAACGTCCATGGCTTCGCGTGAGGTGTGGCACCAGTTAAAGAAGTACCTCTGCAAGCAACGTTTGAAGCACAGACGTTCCAGCGACTTACTCCAACATTTCGAAGCGATTGCCATATTTTGCCGACCATGATCTGCAAGCTACGCGCCTCTAAAACTTGGAAATTTTGTGCGGCGCAGACTAGCTATATGAGCAGGCTAGACAAGGATTTGTTTCTTGATGCAGCTGTCTTCAAGTCTACCCAATATCCTTCCAACTGGAGCCAATTGGAGCTTGGCGTCCTGATGTCACCGCAACCGCTGCGCAAGATGCAGATGAACTTGAGCTCCTCATAGACATTTGACTTGCAAACTGTGCACCGAGCGCGGACCGTGCACTGGCTGCAGAACACAGTCCAGAAAATAAGGTAACTAAAAACGATGCGCGTGCCCACCTGAGCGGAAGAGACCACCCACCTCGTCGTTTCGGCCGCCCTTCGTGCCGGGGCACCCGGTCACCACGGATTCATGGCACCGCTTGTGGACGACGCACGTGCACACTGCAAACGAAACTCACTTCAACCAGGGCAGGACTCGCTTTGCGAGGAAGGGACCACGTTTATAAGCGGGTTTTTTTGTTTTTGGGGATGATTTGTCTACGAATTTAGGGGTGCTTTTCTGAAGTTCCTTTTTCCAACAGTTTCGGTGTTTCTGGATGCCTTTTTATGGTATCGAACGAAACGCATATAAAAATTTATGCTGAAAAAAAATAAAAAACGGACAATGTTTTGGTGTCTTTTCTAGCTCTAGGGAACATCTGTGTGACCCCGATACTTGCGATACTGATTAGACAAAGAAACAAGGCAAGGGACGTGGTTCCTGAAGAACGAATGAACCTCGTAGACAGTTCAGTGCAGGTTGTGTTCCAGATGACAGGTAAAGCTATAGACAAAATTTGTTTTCCACAAAGCCTTTTTTTTTTTTTTTTATATTTGAGGACACTTTTGAATTGGGCCTTTTTTAGATTTCCCCGATCTTCATCAAACCGGCTCGGGGCTTGCTTTTTGGGGTTTGTTGGCTAAACCGAAAACATGGGACCCTATTTATTAGGCGATGGAATTCTGCGGCAGAACTGCTGTTTTCAAGAACTCCTTTTCCCCTCAAACGACACGGGGTTGAAAAGCACTGTGAGTTTCTGCTGTTAGCTACTAACCAGCAAAACGTTTTACGTTTGGCAGTAACCTCGTAGCGTTCCTATAGTCGGAGACGGGCTGAGTTCGGGGAATACTCCTCCCACCTCTTTGCACTCCAGCAGACTGAATACTGGAGAGGACGTCACCTCTCTTCCAGCGTTCAATCTGTTAAAGTGGGAAGATGTGGGAGAAGGAGCTTCCCCCAAACTCTTCACTTGTGTTTATTGTAACTTTTTGTCAGAACAGCCTGTCAATTGTTGCAATAGGCACTGCGGAATTCAAAATGCTTATGGTATTGTAATTGTTTATTTCTTGATTCCGCAAAACTGCTTCTGTTCGCAGCCCCATAATTTCTTCTCCCCCCAATATTGTAGTGTCGATCGTGGCACTGTAGGTATCCGAATACTTAAATAGAATAAAGAATTGTGAACGAGCGAAGTATGCACGTCCACTGGCAAGACTTGCCTTGGCACTGGTACCCCTGTTTCCCGAAGCCCCTGCGAACGAAAGAAAACAAAACAAGGAACCTCTTCACTCGTCATGAATTCACTAAGGCTGCCCACAAAGAGCCCCTTGATCGAAATCTCCCTCTCCCCACGGACGAGGGGCAACACTCATTCTGAACGAAAAAACTGTTCCACCAAAGAAAAAAATAGAAATAATTTCTTTAGCAGCTTCTTGACCTGCGATAACAAAATATAAATGTAGGCACGAAGCATGTTTATCATATCTTCCGGACTATGAGTCGCGTCCTTGTACAAGTCGCACTTCAGTATATTGAGCCGTTTTCGCAGAAATTTGGTTATAACGAACTCATTATAACTCATAATAACTCATTATAACGAAATCGCTTTTTTCGAATTATTGCTTTTATCGGAGTTCACTGCAATCCCGACCGAAATGCATGCATTTTTAACTGGATTATTCTAAGTGTATCAGCGGCCGACCACGCTTATTATACAAAGGCAGCGGTGCTGAAAGTCCTCAAGCCTACACAGTCACACGGAGACCCTTGCATTCCCTCCCCCTTTTCCACACGGCAAACTGGAAAAACCAAGTAAACAAGAGATTGTGCAGAGCTGGCAGAGTGCCGCTTTACAATGCCGATGCGCCGATGTGGGGACGTGGACAGGGAGCAGCGTTAACATTACGACGCTACTCACGGCACCCGCAGCCGACACTGCCTGGCTCCTGTCAGAGTCGATGGAGCCCGGAGAAGATAATCCCTTCAGGATTCCTCGACGCACATGACGTGCCAGCGGCATACACATGACACGTGCATCATATGGAAGATTGGGAGTGTTTACCGAAAGTCACTTAAAAATGCGAGGTTGAGTAAAGTGGCCGGCTCAAGTCTGAAATCGCCAAAGAATTTGACATTCCGGAATAGGCTGTTAGACACTGTCCACCATTTTGCAGAACAGGCAAGGCATATTGGACGGGCTCGAGAAGTTTCTCGTGCAGGAGAAGGCGTGCCCACAACCCGATGATGAAAGACTGCCAACTGTTCCGCGCACATTGGACTTTCTGTCTCGAGCATGCTTGACGAGCCGGCGCACAATTTCTATAGCTGCAATGATCTCTACAGGAATGTGTGAAAACATGTTAGCAAAGCCGCAGAGAATAACACTGATTCGTTTGCGCTTGTCAATGCAAATGTTCCCATTGTTGCTCCTGCCATGGATGCTGCGATTGTAGACCTTGTGTGCGGTCAGGTAAACACGAAGCGACGTCGGAGAGGCACCTCGGGAAACGCCGACAACCGCAGAGACGCGAATCATCCTACGGCTGCTTCAAAACAAAGTGGAGTGCAGTGGCAGTGACAGTGTGCTTGCGATGCCTGGCACAGTTCGAGGAGAACTGATGCCTGGATAAAATTATCGGCAAACTCGACTTAATTATTTTTTTTATTCAGTAAAGCTGCCGCGAATGTTCATAACCAAGGTTTATTTGATTAAATATATGGTCAGAGTGTTCTGCAGTGTTCTCGTCCACTTTCAAAGCTGCTGGCATTGTTTTTCCAGCTCTATCGCTTTTATCAAACTACCGCTTATATCAAAGTTTTTGCCGCCCTGTTGACTTCGTTATAACGAGAAATTACTACATATAAGTCTAGCCTTTGTATAAGCCAAACCTCTTTGCACAGTTCACGCAATGATTTTTTCTTTTTACGTGTTTTGGTATTGCAAAATTGGAGTTTTGCACAATCATCTAGTTCCCACGTACCGGTTTAAGGGCAACAACTTTGACGTTTTCGACTCGCAAGAAATGTCCACAGCACGACGCTGTCTGGCTGGGGCAATCAAGCGTTTCGTAACAAAAGTACATAAAACATGCGAAATGAGAAGGTGGCTGGCTTTATTGGAGCGTACATATGCTGAGTGAATGAAAGCTTAACATGCCAGACGCTCGTGAACGAAGCTCTGGACCAGCAGGCTTAGCCTAGGTCAAGTCATGGAGACGACACGAGCATTGACGCGCAGGCGGATAGATAATTCTTGACACACCTCTTTCGGTATCGCTAAAAGATCAGCCAGCCACAACCCTTCTTTTTATGTGTAGCAACACTGCTGGAGCATGACAGATAAAAAGTGCTCATCAGACAGAAACTAAGAAAAATCATTTTCTGCAATGCATGTATACCAGCTCACCTGCCTTTCAGTGTTACTCAACTGAAGCTAAAGCAACATTGGTCCCATCCTGTGAAAGCTTTATTCTCACTGCCTTGCCCATCCATATTGAGCCGCTTCAGGAAAACCGTCAAATTCCTCACTTTCTGAGTTCATTATGAAAAGTGTAGAGTGCGGCGACAGCGGTGGCCTCATGAAAAGGGCAACACCACCAATGGCTACGTAGTTATGGTGATCTACAAAAGAAGGTGTGCTGCATATAAAAAAAAATATGGTGCAGTGTAAAATTATTTACTTAATTAAAAGTATGTTGCACTGCAAAATTTAAAAAAAATTGCATATAAGTTGCATTGTTGTATAAAATGCACCAAGAAAAATGTTTGAAAAAAAGCCCACGGCATATACACCGGAAAATACAGTGGTAGGCCTCAGAACACCAGGACGTGGTGCAAGGAACGATAGCAGCACCAGCACCCAGCAATTACTAGTCATGCTAATAAACCGAAACTCTTTTAGTTTGTCTCATCAGGTCATATAAATCCTAGTTGGCTGCCCGACATCTGGTGTCGGAATAACGCCTGAACCTTGATGACTGTGACACCGACCACAACCTTGACGATCAATCTTTGGCCGCCCCCTTCAAAGTAATAAAAACAGCTGCTTTAATGGGAGGCATCGCTCAAGTGCGATAACTATTTTGACGCTGGACGTCATAAAAACTGAGCAAGTATTTCCACACTTCGAAGAAGTGACATCACAGATTAAAGAAATATGGTTTGTAATTATTTTGACGACGGACATCTAAATTGTCAGAACCAGGAATAAACTTAAGGTTCCGATTAAAAATTTGCAGAGTGTCATCGACTACTAAGTGAATCAATTTTAGAAAGACTGGAGAGTGCAGGAAGGGTGGTGGTGCATGCAACATTACCACCTGTGCTACAGGCGCAAGGACGGCCAAGCAAAAATACTGATGATAAAAAACGGGAACACTGGTCAGGCACGTCAAATTTGGAGGCATTTTCGAGATCCAGAACAACAAAGGATGCACTGCAGATATTTCCAAAATTAACCGATTTAATGGTTTTCCATGAGACCCATCAAGATCCTAATTGAAAACAGCATCTTTTTATGTTCAATAAATAAAAACATACTTATGCAAATGTAATAAAAACTTCATTATCCTAAATGCTACGCACCTCAATAAATAGGCATCTCGCAGCCAACGATGGTTAAAGGTAAGAAAAAGATCCCGGCAGACAATTGTGACACCAAATTTGGAAATCAAATTTTAACCTTGCTTGCGTTTTTGGGGATCCCAAAGCAGCGGTCTCCAACACGCAGCCCCCAAGCATCAACTGGCTGCGAACCCTCATTCCCAAGTCTCCAGTGCTATATTCTTCATAAATAACGGTTTCATGTCAGTTCTGCTTTTATAACATACTCACATATTTTTCTCTATTTCATTTCTTTGGACTGAGTACAGTTTTGTCTTAACACTCATTTTATGCAGCTGTACGGCAATCCCACTACTCTGCTACAAGCGTGAGGCGAGCTCTTTAGGACGCACCTTGGCAGCACCACTCATCTCAATGACAATTGCTGGATCGCGTATCTCCGCTCCGCGAGTGCGGTCACCGGATGGCCTTCTTGCATGCCGTTGTTTTTCGTGTTGCTAGTGTTGCAGAGGCCGGCGGCAGTGCACTAAAGACACGTTTTCTACTCGTTCGTCATCATTTGCCGAAGATGTTCTGGACCCTCCCTGTGTGAGGCGTGATACTTTCCGTTGAGAACATGTGGACATTTTTACGAAAGTGCACTGCCGCAGGAAAAAGGCACAACTCGTCGAAAGCAAGCTTCGCCGGTCTCGCGGCGTGTTCAAAGCTTCCTTGGCACGCCCAAGTGCTGTGTCTCTGTGCCTTCGCACGCTTGGATACCGATCAAGAATCGGTGCCGTATTAAATAATATTTCTTCATCTGGATTTGCCATTGGCACCCTTGCCATCGGCAACACTAATCAGTCCCACAACAAAACTTTCAAATATGTGTTGCTTCGATAAACATTGATATCTTAAAATTACTAAACCTTCTGAGGTAGTCGCTGGAAAGCTCGTTTTTGATCCCATCCTATTCAATCCCCCTGCCCCACGACTGAGGGGGTCGTGCAGTGAAATAATATAGAGCTTTTATATCAACCATAGACTTCTATGAAACCTCTATGGTTCATAGCATTCACTGTTACAAAAACACAACCCGTCCTTCCTCTAAGCAGCACAAATAGTACAGTCCAAACTAGAAACCCAAACAGTAGTTTTTATCCCGACCCAGAAGTACAATGACCTGTCGTCCTGAATGAACCTTGACGAGATAAACGGTCAGACCCATTCTGCCAATGATCCGACATTTGAAAGGCAACTGGAGTGGAATTTTCTTAGGACTATTGACCTTGTGTGCTGACCAAAGCTAATTATATATTAGCACCTTTATTTTTGCATTGGGACATCAAAATTCAGAGTTTATCGGATAAATCAGAATTTATGAAAATTTTACCAGTGAGTGTTCTTCCGAGTTATTCGTATTTCTCCGTAAACAAAAAATACTCTTATAATCCTGCTATGCAAATCGCCGGGCAAGCGAAAACTGTCATACGAAGTATTTTGTTTAGACATGTTGGACCTGAATAATTTGCGAGAGCATTAACTGCGCGACTGAGCAACGACAGTGTGCGTGATCTCTTGTTTTCTTAAAAAAACTCAAGCACATTAGCGGCGCGGTGTAACTTTAATTTTGTTGTAACACCATGGATGGGCCCAAAGTAGTCGTATAAAGAAACCAAAGCTAAGGATGTAACCACTAAAATGGCGAGATTATGAAAAGCAGACTTTATGAGATCCCTTTTCTTGGAAATCTGACATGTGCCGCTGAGAGACTCAACTACTTTACACCGTAAAGACCACTGCTGTTTCCTTTGACCTTTTGCCCCGCCATTGAAATGAGTTTGAGATGCCTGTTCTAGAGGGATCATTTTGTTATTTCTACCTAAGCCTGTAGCAAAGCCATGCTAGTCGTAATTATATAGACCTTTTCATTTTTGTAGTTGCCTCACCGGCGGATAGAGGGCGCTGATGCTTTCGGCGCCATTAGGTTGCTTCAATTTGGTTGGTTTCGGTTTCAACGTGAACGCGGCTATGTTGCTGTTTTACGTTCTTTTTGCGTAATTATGAGATACGATTATTTTCCTTGTAGCACACAACAAATGAAACATTGGTATTGAGCCACTTTGAGGACGACGAGGTGTATTTGAGCCTAAATTGCGGGCTTTTTTTACCAACTTTTTTGATGGATCTGATTATGGTCGATTGCGAAACGCCTGACTGATGTACAGGGAAGATTACCATCGTCTACGGCCGTGCCCGCTGACCACCAGTTTCCAGAAAAACAAACTAATGAAGAGACTAACACGTGAATATAAAGAAGCATATCGACAGCTTGATTAGCAATGTGCTGAATCAGCCAGAACAGATGAACTCGCAAGTTTACTATTCACTGTTTGGTTTTTGTGGACACCCAACCTTTAGTGAACTTCGCAAACTAAAAACGTATCGTGTAATGACGCAGATAATTGATATAAACAAGTAGTATCGTCTCGGCCTTTTTTTTAAATTCGATAATTGAGCATGTTTTGACAGGCCGAGTAGAAAATTTCTTATATTATCAACCCTGCCAAATTACTCATAAGCAGCATTTCGCGATATTGATACTTGGAAATAAATTATTTTATATGAACATTTGCTTACTCGAGATATGATATAAGTCATAGGCCCGTCAAATTAAATCTGATATATGTCGTCCGTAAAATTGGCCAAATAAAATGAAAGGCTGCAGTAGGAGAAATACCTCGGAAAGTTTGGCTGAATTCTAGCGCTAGGCAACACTTTACAGAGGCCTGTGTGAACAAATATTTCTTTGTTTGAACAGATTCGCTTTGTAAATTTCGGCGTCGCCCGCCACCAAATGTAAAGCCCTATTCGCAATCGACAATCCTGGACAAAAGTAATTGTTATGCAAACGGCTTTTTTTTCTTTTTTTTTTCGGCGTTAAATATTGCGAATTTTAGATACTGGCAAAAATTAAAACAGCGTACACAAAAAAAAGCGTCATCATTATTGCGCATATCCCGAACCCAAACCGCATTCTGGATTAGCAAATAGAAACAACGCTATTTGTGCACGCTATTCCAAAACTCGCTACTGTTGTCGTGGCAGTTTCTTACGCGGGAAGCCTCAAGTGGTTATCTAAATATAATCAATAAATCACTTAAATGACTGTCGAAACGGGAGCGAACACGGTATACATTTTCTTAAACTTCATAAGTAAACCGACCAACCAAACAACTACGTTGCAAAAAAAAAAAAAAAAGGTTGAGAACTTCATTTGCATTTAGGTGTGCTATTATGAACAAACAAATTGCCTGATGTTGACGTAGCAGTACTTCTAGCCTCAGATAAAATACAAGTTAAACGTTCGTTGTATTTAGGTGTGCTATTATGAACAAACAAATTGCCTGATGTTGACGTAGCAGTACTTCTAGCCTCAGATAAAATACAAGTTAAACGTTCGTTGTCTATCTCCTCCGGGAGTTTCCTCAGATAATCAAAAGGAACAGATTTCGATATATTATAAATACAAAGAACGATACTTTCTGGAAATACAGAGAGTCTCCTTGGGCGCTGACTATTCTTGACGTCTTCCAATCCTAAATGCACGATATAAATATACGCGTTTCTTACTGAGAATGTTCCACCACTCTTAGTAAACAAACCTCAGTTGTCATAAGGAACTTTGAACACTCGTAATGTCCTAGTCGTCAAGTAGACGTATCGGGCTACAGTTTCCGAAGTAAGGCAAGAAAGCGCGGCGAAACGCGACGAAAAACACGATTACAACCAATACAATGCATCCGCCAAGGCGCAGTGGGGAGAGCGGAGCAGCAACTTGAAGCAACCTAATGGCTGCCGCGTCACGTGATTCCAAGATGGCAGCGCCCATGCGGAGGAGGATGAAAAGGTCTATACATATATATATATATATACTGCTAACTGCAAATCTCTGAACTTGTTAAATTTTCTTCAAGAGGTGGACAGGGGCCTTAATCAATCATACGCTGTTCCCCCCTAGGCTGACAGTGCGGAGGAAACTAGCCAGCTTTCGCCCACGATCACACTCCGACCCGTACCTATGGGCAAAGAGAGCGGGGTCAGGTGCCGAAAGAGAGGCGGCCGATTGGGTCTGCAAGTGCGTAGCTGCCACTGCACTGTCAGTTTAGGGGGGACCGGAGTAGTATAGCATTTTCGGCGAGACAACACACTCTATGTTCAGCTCGAAAGTGAACACTGAAAGAGTGACTGTAAATTGACAGGCTGTCGAAACTGCGTGCCTACCCCTGTGAAATTCCTCGTTTAAAAACTGCTTGGCACGAACACTCGGAAGCAAGTGACAACACAAGCCCTACAGTCACATGGGATTGCCTCAGAGACGGGCGAACCCGGCTGAAGGGGACAGGGTGCCGGGGGGTGGCGGACTCACCAGATGAACCCCCTGCAGTGGGAGCAGAAGGTGGGCTGCCTCAGGAGGGTGGCCATGAACTTGTGGCCATTGACCTGGTGCACCCGGCGGCGCATGGCAGCGTGCCGCCGGCCGAGTTCCTGCCGCCGTCTTGACTCTCGCGACACCTCCGCATCCTCCGCTGCAACGGGACGTGGACAGACGTCGTGAGACTGCTCCGACCGCACGGAACGACACATCCTCCCGCAGCAGCTCGAGGCGACGAGATTCATTTCAAGACCCCTTTAGAAAGCACGCCTTTTGTCGGAAGTTGTGGGCTGCTTGCACCATGGCGGTCTTACAAATGCATACACTGCTTGCACCGACGTCATGTCACCGTCTGTTGTGGTGGCCTCGCTCCTGACCACGTACCTTTTGCAGCGTTCGTTTCGCCCAATCGAATATGTTTTCCTCACCAAGATCTAGTATGAACGACCAGCAGCACGCTGCGAGGACGTCACAAGCAAGCCATGTATACACGCAAATTAAAACTGCAATATCACAATGCACTTACTGCATTTGGTTGGATTAGAAAGCAGCCACAGACCCCGGAAACAAAATTGGCGATTAGGTACATCCTTGAACTGCGTCCGTCTTTGCAATAAATAAACACTGAAAAACACCTACGAGACAGATACTGGACGTACACACCTAAGTATCTGCAGCCACCTATTGGTACGGGCTTGCAACTATTGTCTTTCTTTTCCTGTATTTATTGTGTCGCTGAAAATGTTTGTAGGTACTGAGGAGCATTGTCCCTGAAGAAAGTTGCAAGCTTTCTTCAGGCCTCATATTTTACTCAGAACTCGGGCACATCTAACAATCTAATGAGCAACGTCAAACTATACTCCGTTCATCTCAAGCTGAGAGTGGGGTGGAAGCATGGCACCCGCCGTACCAATCCACCACCTCCTTTCTATCACCTGACCCAGCTCTCTGCGCGCTGGTTGAGCGGGAGCGTGATCGCGTGGGGAAAAACGCATCCAACTGGTTCAACGAGCACGTAGCTTCCATCGCACTGTCAGATTGAAGGGACACTGACAGGGTATTTATGCGTGTCAACGTTTTTATTTGAACATGACCTACGAGAGTCAAACTACCCAGAACACAATGTGCGGCTCAAAATTCGTATTCTTTCCGCCCGAAAACCGCCGGCCGAGAATTGGCCAGTTTCAGGCGTGCTCACTTTCTTTTTTATGGTCACGTGCCATTCAAACTGATGCGTAGCGAACATATTCAAAGTCGTGGGTCATCCAAGGCACACATTCAATATTAAAAATAGAAAGACAAAAATAATAACCCCATTTTCTGTGGCTTTTATGAAACTGTAAATCAGAAATCTTTTTTTTCACTGACAGGAAGTACATGTACACGTCATTCTCAATATGGCGACGTACCACGGGCTGGACGTGATAGGGGCGCAATACGGGCCAACGCAGCGACGAACAAGGGACTGCTACTTCGGAACTGTCGTTCGTGGTACCGGCCAATCGATCTTCGAGCGCAGAACATGGAGCAAAAGTGCCGAGCAATCGCACGACAAATGGTTCACGTAACGCCCTCGTCATCTGCAGAGGAAGCGGAGGAACGTAGAAAAAAAAAAACGGGGCAGGGAGCGATAGCCTGCGATTTCTGGCAACTCTCTCCTCCTCGGTCCGCATGTCGCAGCCATGTACCTCCGCACTCGTGTTTCGGTTTCTGTTTCGAGCAGTTAGAGTTTTTTTGGCTTTGTTAAAAATATACGCGACTCTGTAGCAAAATACTGATTGAGTAGTCTCCAGACACCTTAAATCGCCTGGCAAAAAATAAAAGAAAATTGTTTTTTTTGGAGGGTGTTGGTGCTTTTTAAAAGGCAACTCCGGTCAGCTCCACGTAATTTGAGCGAACGGTTGATAACATATAGAATTCCGCATTTTCGGTTTTTATTTTTTCAAAATTCGGCGTGCTGTTTTTGGTGTTTTTTTTTAAATTCAATTTTCGTTTTTTTTTTTTTTCAATGTATATTTATGCTCACAAAAGTTTACAGTTTTTTTTTTGGTCAATATGAAAGAAACATTATCGGACAGCGGATCAGATGGTCCTTGTAACTCTGATATTTGTAATCCCTCAAGGAATAACAGCACAAATACATTGAAGAAAAAAAAAAGAACATTAACACTTTACCTACCAGATATGTGCAACTGTAAAAAAAAAAAAAAAAAAAAAAAAAAAGAAAGAAACGCAGAAGTACAAACAAGTCAGTGCCCAAAAACATGGAACTTCACCTTCTGTACATCAGGATTATGTGATCTTATTATAGTAAACACATATGTGTTTACTATTGTTGATCTACGCTCATTTTTTCCTCTTAATGACCCTGGGCTTCGAGAATGCCCGGTCAACGCTAACACTGGACACTGGCAGGCTGAGGGGATGAAGTGCTGCCTGATCCAGAATCGACCAATCAACCAAATGTGACTACCAAAAAAGACACGGTGCAACGCTTTGAAGCACAACATATTTCGTATACTCACTAAACTCTGGCTGCAGATCAATTGCATGAAGCTAAAAACCTTTTACTAGCCCACATTCAAACTTTTTTTTTAGGGCCACGAACTTGACACACACAGCCCGATCAGAGAAAGGGCACAGATGTCCCGCGAAGGACAACCCAAGACCTCTTTTCTTGCATGTTGAACCTCGGAAGAGGGCGATCACGAAGAGGTCGCACAATGTCGAACCTTGCAACGCCCCCTCTCCCCTCCCCCACCCCCATGCTCCCTCCGCCAATCTCTACGCAACCCTAAAAAACTGACCATTTTCGGGTAAAACAGAATTTTAGGGAATAAATTGGGCTTACTTTTGGCGGCTTTTATTGGTTTAAACCGGAAACACCGAACCTAAAAACGGACCTTTTTCGGCTAAAACCGAATTTCCGAAAATGGATTTGGAGTACTTTTATCGGTTTAAACCGAAAACTTGGAACCCTAATTATATATCCCGAGGTATACTCCGTTTTACAAAAACTTGGAGAACTCTGGGGGCTACGGCCCCTAGAACCCAATAAGATTGTCGGAATGAGTCCTGTTACACCACATCACGAGAGTATGTGTGTCACTGCACCAAATGCGAGGCCCGGAGGAACCGGCTGTCGTCTGCTACAAAACAAATCAACTTCAGATTAACATCCACCGCCCCAACATTGCCGTTCACTAGAAAAGCGAGCTCTTCGGGAACGTTTCATGAGACAACCATATGTTTAATTTACCTGCGAATCTGTGGCAGGTGTAATGCCAGGGCGACGTTTTGAGCGGAAGCGGCCAATTACATGGCTGCGATCGCCAACAACCACAACGCTAAAGGAGAAAAAAAAAAAAAAAAAATCGGGAGCTAATTTGGATATGGCATTACCTTTTTGGTTAAATTATAATTGAAACTCGTAAATTCCTGAAGATTTATTTCTTATTTTTATATATGCTCGATAGAGATAGAATCTCCCGAGTTTAACTGCAGTTAAAAGAAGAAAAGTACTACAAGTACTTTTTATCTCGGACGGCGCTGTTGTCGTGATGATGATGCCACTGCACATAGTTCGCCAAGTTATCAAGAAAGGGAGTATAGTAATAAACGGTTCTATGTCATTTCTTTGCAAAAAAAAAAAAAGGTGATATGTTTGTCATGTACCTTAATATCTCGAGTCATCGCCCACCCCCCTACCGCCTGAAATCCATAAAAAAAAGTGGGATGGGCCATGTGCGTGAGTACAAAAAGTAAAAAAAGCAACCAAACAGCTATTTTTTTTTGTGCTTATCTAGCACGGCTGCACAAGAGATACATTAAACTCAAAACTTGAATTAGTTTATTGTTTTATGCAAAAAACACTCATGAAAGAATGTTTTACTATCGTGAAGTTCATTGCTTGCATACGCGCTATGAACACTGCCGATCGGCGTACAGCGCGAACGTTTGTTCCATGAAAGCACTATCCTAACACTAATTTTCTCATGAGAAAAAAAAAAGAAAAATTCCAATTAGGGACAACGACTGAGCGAGCGGGCGGACGAAAGAAGCGACGAAGAGCGATGCTGGAGGAAGCAGGAAAGCCGGCAATGGGGTTGGCAAATACTATGGCGTCGGGCCAAGTGGGGCGCCTTGTCAATTGCAAGCTCTTGCGTCCGTACACAGTGTGCTATCAACGCGGGTTAAGGCGGCGTTGCTGCGTGGCGTGGACGGCACCACAAACACGGGGCTCCAAAATGGGACGCTCTACAAACTTCTGTGTGCAGCGTTCCAGCAAATCTTTATTTACCCGTTGGCTTTGTCTTAAAGGAGCTGTGCAACGATTTTAACGTTGGAAGAATGTGCATCTTCTACGTTTGACATATTGTTTATCTTGTCACAGAAAACAGATCTCCTTCCTTCGAAACGTTGCGATTCCGCTGCATAATCGCGAGGCAAAAGTTACAAGATTCCCCGACCTGCGGCCGGAAGCGGCGACCATGAAAACCACGTGGCATGGCGTCAATGAGGGACTTTGTAAGAAGATAGGAACTTGTGCAAATACCTGCTCGACAAAAGGTATTTTTTCTATAAATCTTATCGTTTCAACATAAATATAAATGCGTCAAAAACCTGGTATCATCGACAAAACTTTTATTATACGGAGTTTAAGTGGCGTCATCTATTTGAGGTTAACAAAACCGTCAGCTCTATCTGCTACCGCGAACAGCCGCCAGAAGCCGGAGGGGGACGGGGGGCAGGGCCTGACGGGGATGGCCAAAGCCGGATGAGACTTTCCTCCTTTCGCCATGTAGATTGCCCTGTGCAAGCATGTGGTCACATGGTCGCAAGCGGGTGAGTTCTCGCTGGTCACTGGTGGCTCCAGAGAGAGAGCTTCACCGGAACCCCGCACGTCCCCCATTGACGTCACAGCGCACGTGACTCGGAGGATAATGAAGGGGTTGAGAGGTGCTGAAAACCTCAACCTTTGTCCATTTTTAAAATAAAAACGGACATGCAGGCAGAAGCGTTTTTTTGTTCTTTATTTCAGAAAGGTCGAGACACCAACTCCCAAATTATTTAAGCAAAGCACTGAAATTGTTGCACAGCTCCTTTAAACATTGCGGCGACCTTACTTCAGTGGAGAAAGACCTTGACCTTACACTCCGTGGTTACATTCCAGGATATGGGGCATACGCTTACCTCGCGATCCCAGAACGGGTTACTGCTTGTGTTATCTTTCCGACTTTTTTTTTTTTTTTTCTCTTTTTGTCTCGACGAATTTTTGTAAGAAAAACAAAGCTCTATTTTGTTATCTCCATCGTTTTCGTTTCGCACGGATACACTATGACTTCGAGGTAGCTCACGGAGGAAATGCGTAAACAAAGAGAAGCATCTTTCCCTCCTTCGTCTTACTTTCTCACGGACATCCTTCAACTATAAGGTCCGCGGCCGCGTCATTCGGGTAGGATAAATGTTCGCGGATCGCGGAGTCCGTGTTGGGGTATTTGTAGGGTTGGGCGATGACTCTGTGTTTTCTTGGAAATAGATATTGACCCAAAAAGTGGGGTGTGTGATGACTCTGGATATTATGGTAATCTTAATTTCAAGCTCATTACAAACTGAAACCGAAACCTTGCCTGCAGCGGGCCACATTGCTCCTTTGTAACTTGTTATCTACATGCTCTTGCCACGTGGGACAAATTGTAAGGACAATTGTTTTGAAAACATTAGTAGAAATTGAAGTTCAGTAAACCACACGTAAATATGTTGTGACGGGTTTGTAGAAGTATGTTGCGCTCAATGTCACAAACTGGATCTCCCACACGATGGACGCTGCCGTCGATGACACATGCTCGCACGGGAGCACATAAGCGCACGCGTGTTCTGCGAATCACGTGGCCAACGATGAGCGTGCTGCTAGTGCAGCCTGCAGCCTTTGCTTTAAAAAGTACAAAACAATTGGCAAGCAAATCTTCCTGAGCATGACGTAGGAAGCGCAGGGTGAGCTGCGCTGCCATGGTGCTATTGATTGCGCTGTTGTCTAAAAACCGTGCCTCGCCTGCTAGGATTAGCAGATTTTGGTAATTTCACACACCTCAAACTTCGTCTGCCAGTTTCATTAACATTTACTCAGGATTAGATAAATCTTTTGGCATGCAGTCTTTTTAAGCGACACTAGAAAGAACTGCATTGTTTGAATTGCACTGGACTTTAACCGGAGTTGCCTTTTAAGGGCAACTCCAGCGAAACCAGTGCCGCGTAGCGGTAACGCCGAGGAGCGCAAGAGAGGAGGTCGTTTGAACTCTGTCGTCTGCTATCGCTGCTTGGTTCTCGTAGGCTGCATAAAAACAAACATTGTTTCCAGTAATTATTTTTATGCTTCCGCCGTGTCATTCCTACGCACTGACTAGAAGAAGGTTTCTACCGTCGAAAAATTGATTTGCTTTCATATGGAACACCGGTTTTACGCTGCAGTGCAAAGAATTTATGGTGGTCCGCGTGCTAAATGACAAAAACGACCTCCTTTCAGCCGCCATTTCGCCTGACCAGCGCGCGCCCTATAGTTCGCCTTGTGACTCCAGCCAATATTGCAAGACCATGGGGATGCAAGTTTGGCCATTCATTGGGAAGTATAGGAGACAAATGAAAAGGTGTCATTGGCTGAAAGTGGGCTGGGCGTGTTACAGGGCGTCTTCACAAATTCGAATGTGGTCAACCGGGAGCCGGAAATAATACCCTGGTGGTGGTCGTGAGAAACAAAATTAATGAGTGCGTCGGAGTAACTCTCGGTGGCTGAAAATATGGTGCACGTGATGCATCAATCACGATCATCCAAGATCGTGGTGGAAGAGTGAGACTAGCGGAACAATCAACATAATCCGTACGCCAGGCGCCAAGGCCGGGAATCTGCCGTCCGAGCGGCAGATTCCCGTATGCAGAACCCTGTCTGAGCAAAACAAAGTTCGAGCGGCAGATTCGTTTCTTATATCTTTCTGCATGATCATAATTGAAACATCACGTGCACCTCACTTTTAATCATGAAGGGTTACTACATTTAACTCTTACTCGCTTATTAAAACTACATATCTATGAATGTTAAGATTGTTTCTCGGTACCACCGCTAGGGGATTCTTTTCGGCTTCTGGTTATCCAAGAGAGCATGCCAAGTCGTCTTTCTGCGTCTCGTGCACGCCCTGGCTCTGCTTGTGCCTCCCATTGACCGGACTATCTGTACACACGGCTCTGGCACATGAGTGGCACTGCTGAAGGTATGAGTAAGCAGGATGGCTCTGCAAGTGGAGACCTCGGAAATACTCTGTCTGAATTGAGTATCAATACACGTAAAATATCCAGTCAAGTTTCTGACTTTCTTTACTCGCAAGCCAATGTTTCGTGTCTTGTACAAATTTTGACCAGATGAGCGACAAACCATAGATCTTTTTCGTCCCATAGTCATTGGGGGCCTTTCAAAACTCAGAGGAGAGCAATAGATTTCTTCATTTAATCCAGTTAAGTAATTGAATGCACTCATTTCCTCAGTGCACCCATCACTAATGCTGTGACTGTTGTAGTGCTGCAAAGGGGGATGGAGCCTTGTCTGGTGGCTTAGGCCGCATCTAGCTCCACTTTCTAGACACGATTGTCTAAATAAACATTCATTTGTTCTTTACGAGTTCACACCAGGGCCGTACCCAGAAAAAAATTTCGGGGGGGTGGGGGGGGCGGGGGGTTTCGGGGACAACGGCGGCCATTTTGTCTTATTTTCGCCTATGAATCATGTGCATCGGTGGCATATAATGGAGAGTTACAGCAAACCGAAGAACCGGTCCCGGTTTGGTACCCGGTAGCCGACCGGTGCCACTGCGCGTGCGCAGAGGTGGAGATTAAAATCGGCTGGCTGCAAGTGCACCGACCCGGGCCGTAACCAGAAAAAAATTTCGGGGGGGGGGTCAGAACCCCCTAACCCCCCCCCTGGTTACGGCCCTGGTTCACACACATATCTATTATAGTAAAAAGACTACGGCTCTGACTACTGATTGTTACTAAGGTGTTTTACAGCTACATGTTTCAACTGACGTTGGGTAACACACATATCTATTATAGTAAAAAGACTACGGCTCTGACTACTGATTGTTACTAAGGTGTTTTACAGCTACATGTTTCAACTGATGTTGGGTAACGACATTTCTCGGGTCTGTGTTTGCTCTGTTGGGCAGGTGCTCACCTGAGACAAGTTGAACGACCATGTGAATCTTCCCAGCCGGCTCCAGGTCAATCTGCGCAGGACACAACGAAACATCTCTCCTGCATCAACACTGCACGACCCCCATGCAATGCCAAGAAACAAGCATGAACGCAGAGAAAAGTGCAGAGTCCTCCTCGTGCCACTGTCACGGTGCAAGAGGCATCGCCACGCTTTATCAGCTCTAGCTAATCTGACAAAGAAGCCCCAATGAGCTTTGCATGGAAGCAGTGTGGAACATTGGCCACCTCTCAAGAGTACGACAGGCGCGTTTTTGTCCGCTTTGGTTTGGAGCACATGGGCGCGCTTCAAAACACAAACTGTCTCTACCCGTCTCCCAATGAGAACAGACCCGATATATGACCAGCCTTGGGGGTATCTTTAAAAGGACAGTGAAGAATTTTCGTACATCGCGTAAATACCACTAAATCCGGCCCTGACGTTTATAACCTATGAAACGCGTGTTAGTTTTTCTCCTCCTGCAATGGTAGTTTTTTAGTTTGTTTTTGTTTTGTAGCTAGAACAAGGAGTTAGGTGATCTAGAGAAAATTATATGCCACCAATATTTATCGTAGCCACGCACTGGGGCTGGCGAAGCACACGACACATGACAAGTTTCAGACATTGTTAGGGTTTGGCTATTGTCGTTGTTGCAGCGATTGGACACGAGCCACTACCTGAATGCTTGTCGAGCATATTGATTATCACAAGCGCAAATAGAGTTCTCTTGTAATACCTGGGTCCAATCCATGAGCTGCATTAAAATATTGTCATTGAGGGACTATGTCAACATGGCGACCTCAAAACTACATCATCAAATTAAAAAAAAAAAGAGATAAATAAAAAGAAGCTTGCATCTGTTTTTGAAATTACACTGCAGCAAAAAGGTTTCCAAATGAATATTGTTGCAAATGAATATTGTTAAGAAATTTTTCGCCCAAAAGTGTGTTTGTTTTAACCAAAAAGCTTTAGATGCATCTTAATCTTACGAATAAAGTTGGAATGGCACTCGAAAACTAACTGGATTCAGCGCTGCTCCATCTGTGTTGTCATATGTGACATCAAATCAATTTATTTGCTGTCACATAGTAAAAGCACATAACACGGTAAATGCAAGGACGTGCACATGACCCACTAGAATAACCCAGATCCATTTGAGTAAGATTTGGAACATAACCGGGGTCTGCTGAGGTCAATGGAGTCAGTGGCTAGGGCAGAACTTGGTCGCTCACGGGATCAGTTCCCCTCTTTCTGTCCTCCTCTCCCATGCATTTCATTTGATTTGTTTGCCGTATAGTGATTATGTGATCCCGTGACCCCACCCATCATTGAGATGACAGTTTTTTCGGCAGCACGAATACAAAAACTCTATAGTCGGTGACAAGCCAAGACTCAAGAGTGAGGTGAAAGCTCTTCCCAACTCTTTCCAGAGCAATGTGGAAAAGAGCCGACCCCCTCTCCGCGTTCACTCTCTAAAGTGGAAAGAGGTGGGAGGAGCTCCCACTGGACTCTTGACCTGTCACCGACTGTATAGCCATAAATGTGCTGTCCCATTAAGGAAACAGTTGGACAACTATCCATCAACACAACAGAAACATGTTTTTGGTGACCCTGTCGCATTGAGGCAACAGCCAGCAACTGTCGGAAAACGTGTCTTTGTCGCCGGGCAATTGTGCTCATCCATTTGTTGTCCGACAATCAAAGAATATTCTGTCGCACAGCGCTGAAAGCACGGCCAACTTGGGGAATAACATCCTTGCGGGAACACTCTGCCATCTTGACTGTTTGCCTTTGTTTGTGTGTGGCACGGCAGTGCTGGAAAGGTGACTCTACAAAATGCAAAATGACTCTACAAAATCCCCAAAATGTTCTGGGGATTTTTAAAGTAATTCAGGTGTGTGGCAGCGGCTGCCTTCAAGTTTCAAGCATCAGCGATCATGATCAGAGCAGCCTTTTTCATGCTTCAATTTTTTAATCCCTAGCTTTTGTGGATGATTTTTATAAAAATTTATCGACGGTTGAAAGCATGCCATTTTAATTCACTAACAGCAGTGTGAGCTAGTCTCTCGGTAGTTCTAAATTCAACAAACGTCTGAACGTTCACGACCCTAGCTGTGGCCACTTTGACAACCATTTTTAGTAACAGTAAGAACATTCATCAAATCATTTTAGCTGGTTGTCAGCTTCTAGAGACGCCATGCTTTGTTACATATACAATATTAAATATTGTTTCCCCAGCTTTTATTTGAGCATGCTCTTAAAAAAACAAGTTATTGATTGAGAACTCTACCATCAAAGCTATCTGTGTTGTGTTGATTGCACAAAATTCGCTCATCCACGATCTGGGCAACAGTTGGTCCACTTTGACACTTTGTTCTCGGTCGCCCTGTTGCCTGACAAACCTGTCACATTGCGGGAACATCGGCACACAGGTGACAACAACAATGTTGCCTCAGTATGACAGCTTTTGGCAACAAAAACAGCAGCAGCTTGTGTTGGACAACGTTGGACAACCGATACACGCCGCTCCGATACCAGACAACCGATACACGGCGTCCAGTCGGCAAACCAAGCCCCGCTGTACCCCATGCACCTCCGGAAACGAAGTCCCATACCATTTCGTTCAGCGAAATTTCGGCGTCAACATTCGTTTTTTTCTGTGTTAATCGCAAAAAAAAAAATAAAAAAAATAAATGGAACTATTGCCAAATGCGTCGGCAAAATAAAATGTTGCAGAATACAAAAACAAAAAAAGTGAAAGCAGTTTACAACTCCCTGTAACGCCGAATTAGAGCGCAGCTCCTGAGGAGGAGTAGGGAAGGGTACTGAGGGGGGTCAGGTAACCTCAGAAAGAGGGGGGGGGGGGGGGTCACGTGACCCCCCCCCCCCCCCCCCCCTCCCCGAGGAATGTTTCCGTTAGATTTAGCGGGGAAATTTTTCCGCTAGACAGCGGGGAACTATTTCAGCTAGATTTAGTGGGGAAATTTTTTCGCTAGATTTAGTGGGGAAATATTTTAGCTAGATTTAGCGGGAAAATTTTCCGCTAGATTTAGCGTGGAAAATTTTCCACTAAATTTAGCGGGGAAATTTACCCACAATGCGCCGCGCGGTTACGCCAACGGTGAAGCGTGTTTCACATGCAGCGGTTTTGGCCCCAGAGCGGCGCGATTTCTGCCGTCGCGACGTCGACTGCCGTCTGTCTGCCGACGACGGCAGACGACGGCAGACGACTGCCGTCGTCTGCCGTCGCGACGGCAGAAATCGCGACGCGACGGCCCAGTGGCCGCGACGGCAGAAATCGCGCCGCTCTAGGGCCAAAATCGCTGCATGTGAAACACGTTCAAACGCTGCGCTCTAAAAAGTAAGCCCGCACTGGGGATCGAACCCGGGATCGCTGCACCGTCGGACGGTGCTCTAGAGTTTAGACACTACGTTAATTTTTACGGCAGTGGGTTCGCGTGTCCGGAGCGAGCCCGTCGCGCGCGGGCACGAGGGTTCGGGAGGAACGGCTCACCCAAATGTCGTTTTCGTTGCTGTCTCGCTCCCTGGCCAAGCTGACCAACTCGTCCAAGGAAAGGGTGCAGTTGGCGACGAAGTCGTCAGACGCAAGGGCAGCGTGGAAGACGGCGAGGCCGAGGTTTTGGGCGTCGCGGACCTCCGCCGTGAAAGACTCGTTCCAGACGGGGCTGAACGTCCGCTGCTTGGTGCTGGATCGGCTCACGAGGATGTCATCGACGTTGATGGACACGTAGGGGTCTATCAGCATCGGGTCAGGACTCGAGCAGACCAGATTCGCGTGCCGAGTGGTGAGCTCCGTTGGCTTGAGTTCAACGGCTTCGCAAATCTTGAGCTTGACGGTGCCCGTGAAGGTGGGCACGTCGGCTTCGCAATCGCCCGCCCCTGCTTCGGCCGCCTGCACCGTTCCGCGCATCGTCCGTGATCTCCTTCGGCCCGCTGGTTGCTCGGTTCTCCGCTCGGGTTCGGTCCCTCTTGAAGCGGGCTGTTCGAGACGAATCAGATTAGGATCTGCACCCAGGGAGCGTATTGAGTTATCCCAAGGAGGTTATCTCGTAGCCTTTGGGGGTCTTGTAGCCTTTCGGGGTCTTGGCTCGGTTGGCTCGGTCTTGGTCGTCTCGGTCGGCTCCGAGTCACGTGAGGCAACCTTTCCTACCCTTCTTGGCGTCCCCGTTCCCCGTCACGACCAACTCCGTGCTTGCTCAACAAACGTTGCCCAACACGTTTGCCGTCCTTGGGTCTTTTATCAGGTTATCCCAGGGTCACTAAATAAAGCCACATTAAGAAAGCTTATTAGTGGCTCTAGGTTATCTGGGTTATCCACCTTATCATATCTAGCTTATTTAGTGACTAATCATATCCACTCGGTAAAAACAAACATGGTGGAACTTCCGATTTGTGACCGATTTCACAAAGGAAATTTGAGGTGCTGATTTTCCCGACCGAGTTTAAAGCCAACCTCAGAATTTATAATTTATGACGTGTACTTATTAACTTCCCTACGCCCTGCAATTAGTTTTTTTTTTTTGCTAATTTTTAATTTGCACCGAACCTGAGCGCACTGAACATAGTAATTTAATGAAACCTGTCTTTTCTCGAATTTCGCTTTGTTTTAAAAGTTATAGGCAAATTAAGATTACAAAAACAAGCAAAAAATAACTTCCCTCATGACGTCCTTGGTTGCTTCCATAGATTACGCTACTCTGCCAACTCTGCTCCGAAGGAGCTATATAGTGTTCTAAGGGGGGGTAGTGAGCTTATCGAGCGCTCACGGCTGCCGCACTCCGTGTCGACGGCGCGAGAGGGCGCCACTAAACCATGTTCTGGAGTATATAATAGGTAAGGGCAACAGAAATGCAGCTGTAATGAAAAATAGAGCACTTTGGAATTACAACAGGTATGAGGTGGTGAGAGAGATTTGGAAAGGGGTCATGGTGCCTGGCTTGACTTTTGGAAACGCAGTGCTATGCATGAAATCCGAAGTGCATGCGAAACTAGAAATAAAACAGCGCGGAGTAGGTAGACTGGCTTTGGGGGCACATTGCAAAACGCCAAACCAGGGAGTACAAGGAGACATGGGATGGGCATCATTTGAGAGCAGGGAAGCGGTGAGCAAGGTAGAATTTGAGGATAGGTTGAGGCTAATGGACGGGGAGCAATGGGCACGAAAGGTTTTCAGCTATTTATACATGAGGAGTGTAGACACCAAGTGGAGACAGCGCACTAGGAAATTAAGAGGAAAGTTTTTGGGCTATAGCGAAGATACGGAAGAGCAAGTCTCAGTTAAGAAGAAAGTTAAGGCCACAGAAAGAGATCGGTGGCTAGAGGGAATGCAGGCAAAGACGGCTCTGGAAAGCTATAGATTAAACAAAAGAGTTATTGCCAAAGAAAGCATTTATGACAATTCTAGGGGAAGCTCATTGCTGTTTGAGGCAAGAACGGGTGTTCTGCGAACCAGAACATACAGAGTGAAGTACCAGGAAATTGATACAGTGTGCACTGCTTGTGGAGAGGAGGACGAGACGGCTGAGCACTTGATACTCTACTGTAAAGGGCTTCACCCTATGCCTACCGAAGACAACATAGATTTAATAAAGTCATTGGGTTTTAGAGACAGCGAAGGGAGAGTGGATTTCAAGACTGTAGAGATTACCAAGCAAAGATTAAGTGAATGGTGGCAGAAATCGAGAGAAAACTAGGTATTTTCTTATTCACTGATGGCAAGGGGGTTTCATAGCCTCACTTTCTTTGCACTGCGGAGTGAATATAGATTTCACATTTAAATATTCTAAGCTTAAATGGTAAAACAAAATGGCTAGGTGGCGTAAGCTACCGCCCGATCCAAAGGGCTCAGCCGTATTCATCCATCCATCCATCCATGGATAGGCTGTATGCAGCGGGCAGCCAGAGCGGCTCTCATTGCATTTGCTGCGCAATTAAACACTAATTCGGCATGACACTTCATTGGCCACAAACGACAGCAAACGCGGGGTAAAGATCAGTTCAGAATGGGAGCCACTTCGCGCTGCCATACCGCGAAACGGCCGAACCACCAGACAAAGCTGCTCGCCGAAGGCCTTCGGAACTCGGAGCGCTCGGAGCCGGTCGGATTTAGAGTTCCTGTATAGCTCCCCCGAAAGGGGAGCAGAGTTGCGCATTTGTTTTCCCCGCGCCGCCACGCCGCTATTCGCCGAGATCCATCACGTGAGGAGAAAAGCATCCGGCGCCGTGCAAAAAAGCCACGTTTACGGTCGCTCCGCCGACGTTGCTCGCGCCCCGGTGTAGGACGCCGATCTCACTACCCCTCCGCTTCGACTACGGTAGTGGTTATGGCGTACGCCAAAATCAATACCGTAGTCATTTCGGCGTACGCCATAGTCAATACCGTAGTCTTTTTCGCATACCCCAAACGCACTACCCTTACGCCAAATTCAATACCTTGAATAACGTCGGCTCAGCAGGGGTTGAGCCAATCCGTATTTCGCTAAAACTGGCGGAAGTAACTTTCTGCAGCAAAATACCCTGATTGTTTGTTGTTGTTTGTATGAGCAGCGGAACGCGCGCGGCAGGCGTTGTTAATTTTGATTACCGTTGATACGGCTAAAGTGATTAATACGGCTGACGGCGCACAGAGCTGAAGGGCACAAGCAAGGAAGCTTGGAGTGATTCTGTGTCAATGTGATTTGACGTCGCTTCTTTCTGTTTCTTCAATCATGGTGCAAATGCAGGTGCCCGACTCCCGAACGATTCGAAGGCAAGAGTGGTAGCCCGCCTGTCCGCTGGGGTGCTATGTTGCGCTTTTTGCACTCCCGGGAGACTAGGAAGAGGGAAGTGACGTCAACGACACAGCAAACGCACTTTCAATCGCAAGCCCTGTCGTCATTTTGGGCACAGCGGAAGAAAATAGGACGCTCACTATTTTAAATAGCGTGCGATCGCCCTGTCTAGGTTCTGGCGACACCGTTTCAGGCTGTAGATGAGAAAATTTAGCCACTACAGTACGACTGCTAGCCTGGGGTCTGTGCCTCACAACAGATCGAATCGGGTGGGGGTGGGGATCCCTGGCAGTGGGACCTTTCGCCGTACGAGTTGCGGTGCGCTAACACGCTCGACTTCCGATACCCCCTTGGGTCGCAGCGCTTGCTGAAAGAAGTTTTGGATCGTTTTACGCAGATTTTGCAGTGCGTACGAGACGCACAACAGCTACGTACTACGTCCTAGATGCCCAAACTGAGGATCGCTACTTGTGCGCGGCTCTCGTGATCTGGGGAACAGCCATGAAAATGTTGCATTGAGAAGTACGAAAAAGTAATATTATAAAAATAGAGTGTTTAAAACTGGCTTGCATTGTCACTGAACATATGAAAATAAAACTGATTAGGAATGCCGATCAGATCGGGTGGGAATGTGATATAGATCTTTAAATAGGCTCGGATGGTATCGGATTATGTGCGAAGTTGCGTCGGAACAGGTGGGCAGGGTTGCTATATTCTCCATCCCCCACATAATTCAAACTCGTTGCCCCCCATCCCTGTTCCTATATTCTTCCAATGTGGCAGGTCTTTTTTTTTTTTTTTGTGTGTGTGTGTTTAGAGCTGCAGTTTTCTATACTTCATCTCCCCTTAGCATGGACTGTTAGCCAGATTCTACAAGTGTGAGCTAATTGCTTTGGATCACACCATGGCGGTTGCACGAGTGCTCATTCACTGCAAGCGCTGTGAAGGCAGTCGAGGCCATACCATCTTGTGCTTGCGCAGCCTTTGCGGTTTGAGGTCCTTTGTTTTGGCCTGTTCTTTTGTGTCTGGGTTTCATGTTCTTTTTGTTTGTTGTTTCGTGTGCTGGATATGGTTGGAAGTTATGTTACGCCTAGTAGTAGGATCTTTTGTAAAAACATATCGGTTTGAGAGTAAATGGTTCTAGTACCTTCTTTCTTTTCCTTCTGGCCAAGCAATGAACCTTTTGTAGAAACATTGGTTTGAGAGTAAATGGTTCTAGTACCTTCTTTCTTTTCCTGCTGGCCGAGCAGAGAGGGAAAATGGTTTCCTCGTGCCGACTTCGGGACAGAAGATAACCCACGATGGGGACAAAGGCAAGTTTGGGGAAACCGTATCTAGGTCACAGCGGCTCAATGGGCAAACAGGATGTGACTCACGTTTTGCGTGTGGAACAGGTTAGAGAGGCCTGGTGCGCGCATTGTTTTCTAGCCATTTATTCTCTATCCCAGTCGCGTGTCTAGGTGGCAGCACGTATTTGCCAAAGGGTGGATTGTGAAGGAGGTTTGGACATGTATATAAGGCGGTGTTTGTTGAAAAAACTTAAACCTGTGTCCGAGACTTCAATGTTCATTTCATTTTTATTTTTATTTTCCTAAGTCTCGGGTTTACTATGTTTGTCATTCACCAGCTCGCCTGTTTTTTCTCCCTTTCTTCACTGAATAATGTACTGGTCAAGAATTATCTGGTCTTACCCAAAGTCGAAGGGAGACCAATGAAGTTTGAGGTAGACACAGTAGCTTACCACCTTGACCAGGGCAAGACCCTATAGATGACGCGTTGCTGACACATGAGGAAGTTCTTGACCCAGGGATGAGCAGGCACAAAGAACCCTCGGTGAACCTGGATCTGAAAAAAGATGAAGCACTGCGCTTTTTGAAGGCCAGCCCTGTTCCTTTTGCAATGTGTACCGCAGTGGAGGCAGAACTCCGGATGCTCCAAAGCTAAGGCATAATCGAGCCAACACAACACTGAACGCGGTTGAAAAACTGGCGGTAAATCTGATGCAGGCTGTAACAGATTTTGTGGTGAGCGTGTTTGGAGGCACCACTTTTTCAACACTGGACCTCACTAATAATAATAATAATAATAATAATAATTTTTATTTGCACGAAAAAGTTTGCCGACTCAGCGGCGTGCGAGGCTAGACAGAAAGGTTAGTACCCTTACGCATGTGCGCCTGCTAGCCCGCCGCTGAGTAGGTGTAAACATAAACAAACTGTAGTCGTAAGTACAAGATAACACATATACACGTATGGAAACAATGAATAATCATAACCCAGAGGGGAAGATAAGAAAACTCGCTGTGCCCCAACCCACCGCCACGCAGACCACGGCAGAGGCCCCAGCCACAAGGCATTCCACTAGCTGTGTGTGACAGTGGAGACAGCAGATATGCTCACCATGAACACCATCAAAGGACGAAACAGAGTGAAAAGGATGCTCTTGAAAATTTCGGCTGCCGCGGCAATTTTCCAGCTCTGCAAGGAGACAGTCCTAGCGG